TGCCTAAGGAAGCTTCAAGTAAATAGACTAGATTTGTATGCACAAACTGAAAGGCACGAATAATGCATAGATTATGAAATTAGAAAGTAGTATTAAATTGCCAATACACCTAAAATCTTTTTCTTCGCTACAATTCACCTAACTTTTTAAATATTGAACTAATTAAATTCTAATTTTAGTTTATGTTCACATTGAGAATGAAATAAAGTTTCTTCAGTTGTTAAATTTTTTTTTTTTAATTCTAACTTTAGTAACTAATTAAAGCTTATTGAAGCCATTAGAGAAAGAGCTAGATTCACGAATCACATACAAAATTAAACGGATTAAATTTAAAACCAAAATAAAAGCTGACTAACAAAACAAAATATGCACCAAATTAGTGTCTGCGGAAAATACGAAGGCATCATACTTCATAGTTCATACCACAATTTTGTGATGCATTTTTTTGTGTGAAATGTATTTTGTGATGCATTTTAATACAACTGGAAAAGGATTAATTAAGGCATTATACATCAATTTCAAGCTGAACATCTCTTAGTAATTGTGACTCTAAGCCCATACTTCATGTACAATATAAGACCAGGATCCGGCTCAATCTTCTGTCCTTTGATAACCTTAATATCATAGTTTTGTAAGATCTCCACGACTACGGTCTTCATTAGTGTCATAGCTAATTGCTTACCAGGACAAGTTCTTGGACCTGCGTTAAACGATAAAAACTTGAAGGAAGGCTCATGTCTTAACCACCCAGTCTGTGAAATCCATCTCTCTGGCTTAAAGTCCAATGCGTCTTCTCCCCAAACCGCTCTCATCCTCCCCAACGCGTAAAGAAATAACATGATATTAGACTTGGCGTCGACTTTATGCCCACTTGGAAGCAAGTCTGGTTTTATAGGAGACTTGCGTTGAAAGGGAACTGGTGGATAAAGCCTCATTGATTCATACAACGCGCTGTGTAGATACACCAACTTGTCTAAGTTCTTCTCTTGGCCATTTATTTGGGTTCTTGGAAGATTTTTGTCAATGATCTCTTGGCGAATCTTGGTTACCACTTGAGGGTTTTCAGATAGAAGCCAGAAGAACCAAGAGAGAGCAGAAGCCATTGTGTCTCTCCCAGCTAGATTGAAAGCTAAGATGGTGTCTCTGAGGAACTTATCATCACTAGGGTTCAAGAGCTCGTACTTTGTTGTATCAAGCTTTATGTGAGATGTCAAAAGATCCTCACTTTCAACATTTGAATGATGATCAAGCCCTTGTGAGCTTACCTCTTTTCTCTTAGCTGATATGTATTTGGCAGAAACGCGATCGAAAGTGGCATCAGCTTCGGTCATTCTCTTCTCTTTTCCAAACCCAATCCGGTTTTGCAGCTTCCACAAGAACTTGGGTATAACATGCCTATAAAAAATTCCTTCTCCAAGATCGTCAAGAGCTTGAGAATACTCAACTTCTGGCACTTCAGTAGAGAGAGACTTAGGATCAAACCCGGTTACAAGGAAAAACGTTGTATCAAACGTGAATCTTTGAAACACATCTTGCAAATCCACGACCGTCTCCTCCTCTGAAAAATGGTTGAAAAGAGGAACAAGACCGTCCTTGAGCTTACTTCTCGTCGCACTCACTGAAAGTTTTTGAAACCCTTGATGGTTAAGCATGTATTGAGCAGCTTTTCTTTGATTCTTCCATAGCTCCCCGTCCGAATTAAAGATCATTTCTCCGAAAACATCAAACACTTCTTTGAAGTCGGCTCCTTTGTTGTAATTGGAGAAGTTTGAGCTTAATATATAGTGAATATTAGCTGGATCAACCGTGACTAACATATCCATTCCAGTGAACCAAGGTCCCTTGAATGGAAAGGTTAAGTCGGTATTCTCTAGAACCTCCACGCTAAAGTCGTAGATGCGATGGAGGACCACGAGGAAACCAGGAAGCATCCCAAGAACCGGCCAGTTTATAAGGAACCGGTCATGAGGTTTCTTGAAGATCAAGTAACGGAAGATGAGAAAGCAAAGAATGGCTATGAAAGCTTCACGTAAGCTTATTGAATCCATTAGAGAAAGTTAGGAACTTGATTTTGATGTGATGGCTTCTTTGAGTGTTGAAGGAATTTGATTTATATACACAGACTACATAGCACAATGATGAAATGCATAAATACATATAAAATAACAATATCCTACCCAAAAAAAAAAAATCCATCAATTCAACTGCTTTTCATATCTTAAAATTATTCATTTTCGCCTTTTCAAATAGTTGGTTTCTAATAGTAACAAGCTAAGCAATTCAATTGGAAATTAGTCTCCAATTAAATTACATTGGCTTGTATGATATATCTTTATAAAATAAATTGCATTATAATAAGTCTTTAACTCGACGGACAAGTAAAAAAATAGTTTGCCAAAGGTATGAACAAATGATGAGATGTATAATATAAACCGTTGAATTCTAGGATAAGAAGATGATCCACATATTGGTTTTGTTTTAAAACAAAAAAAAATTGGCTAAATGGAAACAACACAAATAAGCTTTTGTATCTTAATTGTTACATAATTTAGAAATTTAGATATGACCCATGACAAATATGTTGGTGTGGGTAGGGTTGGGCAAATTATCCGTTAAATTCAATCCGATTCGGTATTCGTTTCGATCCGATCCGAAAAATTTGGATATCCGTTTTGAATCAAAGCAAAACAAATAATAAAATTTAGTATCCGTCAAAACCGAAGTAAATCACAAATACTAATTTTAAAAATATGAATATCCGATCCGTATATTACTTATACAGTTATACTTACATATAATATAGTAGATTTATAACGTATATTTACATTTTTTTTATTTTTAAATATATTTGGCGAATATATTTATAGTAAAAATAGATAGATACTAACTTATTTGAAATATATTTTTAAATACAAAATAT